AATATAAATATAAATATAAATATAAATATATAAATATAAAGCTTCTTAATCTAAATGCTTTAGAAGTAAGGCATTTAGAAAGTCATTTTTTTATGCGTTCATAAGAATAAAATCGCTTGAAAAATATGAGTATTAGCACAGTGGCTGATCGTAGGAGATTTCTTGCTCGTAGTTGCTCGTTTCTAAATTATAAACTCAGTAATACGACGTTTCACAAATAAAACAGGATTAAATGTGAGAACACATAAGAAACTTTCCATAAACGCATAGAAAACGTCACATATACACATTTCTTTCCAAACAAACCTTTTTTCTTCCTGTAGCAGTGTTACACAATTTTAGATAAATATTTGTAGTAAACTCCAAAAATTGTTCTTTGTATGATCAGTAAATTAGTTTTTTGGTTTTGCAAACAAAGCAGAGCAATCAAAGCGACGTAAGAAATTATTGAAGCCTAATTTTTTAGTAAATTTCTCTTCCCGCAGTTAAAATTTTCAATGCGCATATAGTTACCGCTCAGTACTTGCTTATCTGAACTGATTTTTTATTATAGTTGATTACTGCGTGTAGAAAAAATAAAAATACAAAAAAAAATAAACTTTTATGTTTTCCAAATTTAATTTCATTTCAAAACTGTTGTAGAAGTTGAACAGATGAGTAAGCAGAAAATTGTTGCAGTTAAATCAGTATGATTCAATTGCTGTCTATGTTTTAATGTACTGAGAATAATAAATAAAGTGTTTACTTTTATACGCTGTTTACAAATGCTGTAGCTAAGTGACATTTTTATTTCATTTATCGGTTCTGTTTCTGTCGTCGTGTGCACAGTAACTGTTAAAGCAAATGTGAAGAAAGCACATATTTCACCCTTAGAATTTTATAAGTAATATAGTAATCGTTTTCCATCCTGGAATATTTTTTCCTTCTTTTTTAGAAAAATTTTTTCTCATTTTTGTTTTTTGAGAGATTTTTGAGAAATTTTCTAGTGAGAATGAGTATGAAAAACATTGTCTAATTTGTCAGGTGATGTAATACAACGTAGAAAGTTAGACTTAAGGAGATATATAAAATTAACATTCGTATTGAAATACTGCATCTGTGGTACACAGCACTGCTTTATTGTTGCTTCAAATTTTTGCCTTAATTATGTAGTAGCTTAAGCAGAAAATGTTGTTGATTAAAAAAACTGGTTTTTGGAGAAGACACTCTTCTCATTTTTTTGAGTAATTACGATGTAGTCTAAAAAACGCTTTTGTCGAAAAATTTTGTTAGCAGAGCGACTGAAGTTTTTGAGTATACCGTGCAGTGGTACAATTTTTTTTGCTGTTTTAAAACTGCATTGACAAGAGGCAAATTTGTTTCCGTTAAAACTGCATTTTATTGCATATTGATGAAAACTGAAGTGAGTTGTAGTAGATACTTACCAATAATTGGTGTTGAACTCTTCCAAAAAAATATAGCAAAGATCAGTCGAACAGTTCCTAGTTGCGCTGCATGACAAGCTACAAAACTGAAAAATTCACTTTTTTACACTGTCGATCATGACAACATTATAG